GGGAGACGATAGATGTCGCGTATTTCTGACGTATTAATGTTTACGCTTACGGTTTTTCCAAGGTTTTTAACGTGGTTTTGGATATCCTCCAACGTCTCCTTCTCTTGCCATGGAATATTTCTTATTTCGATGGTGGATGACCGAGTGCCTAACTCCAACACTTCAATTCTTTTCTCTAATATTTCAATGTATTTATAACTCTGTAAACGTTCCTTTTCAAACTTTTCTAGCTTCGATTTCATGTCTTCATAAGTTGTTTTTATGCTTTCAATAGATTTTTCTATATCTAAGTTACTTTTTTGGATAGTTTTGTTTTGCAGTTTTATGTCTTTAATGTCATCCGCCAGCCTAGCAAACATCATACAATGATTTGATTTCAAGGTTTCGAACATATCTCTCATTTCCACTTGAAATTGTAGAAAATCACTTGCAGGAGGGGAACAGTCGGACCTCGGTCTTTTGTATCTAGTCGTTATATTGAATATGTTTTCGTCTACTGCGGCAGGTATATCTGTATCAGACTGCGTATGCGAAATTTGTGACTCGTTAGGAGTTTTTTTGGGAGTACGCATAATACTCATGATGATATGCAAACAGCGCCAAAATTGACGATAAAAAAAGTAAACGTAATCAGTTATAAATAGGCTTGTAATTCTATTTATTTTCAGTAAACGACAATAAGCTAGTAGCCGAGGTCCGTAGCACTGGTAGCACAGTATATTATGTATTAAGAGTGACTCACAGTCTCGCACTGTAGCATGTGCACTCCCCACTCACTCCCCGCAGCCGTAGCAGCTAGAACGAAGCCGATGCTTGTAGCCGATACGCGACGCCAGATTCGTAGCGGACTTATCTATTTCGTTGATTCACTAGTTACGTCACTGTCTCAGCGGACCGGCTGTTAGTGATGTGGACTGAGATTTACAACCACAATCGGAGGGGCGGGTTCAAATCCTGGGTGTCACCACTAAAATTCACTTAATTTCACTTTGTTAAGTATGTAGGTGTTCAAATATTAATTGTCTCTTTCTCTCAACGCCCACAGGGTGGAGTCCATTAATTTAAATGACAGAGGTTAGAGCAAGAATCAACCCAACACTTAAAGACCAATCAGAAATTACGAATTAAAAATTGTGAAGTACACAGGTGACACGCGTGTACACTAGTTGGCGGCCGGATGCGTACTCCCCATAGTATATAATAGTAGTATTAAATGACAATTTTAGAGCATATTATTAAAGTGCGTATCTTAAAAGATATCAGAGATTCAAAATGCTTGGGGCCGCACGACCATCCCAGGTGGCAGCAGCTGCAGGAGCGGAGCGGGCGGTGGTTGTAATAAATATTACACATAAAGATGCCCTGTAGTATAGTCTTATCATAATGACAGTAATTATTTACTCCACAGTGACTACACAATATAGTAGTATTAGTAGTATCCACATTGCACCTGTACGAAGCACGTTGTGTATGTTTGTTTAAACATTTTACGACATTTTCTCTGAGGATGATGATGGGTTTGCCTTCCCCTGTGTAGTCTGCGACAACTCTTTATATTATTATCTACCTAAGAACTTAGTTCTAAAAACAAATACAAAAACAGGGTTCTAAAAAATAATAAAACACTTTTGAAAATAAATATTAAGTATTTAATATCATTTGTATTAATATTTTACAATAATACATATCACTTTATTTCCTTATTACAGATAGTTATTTTATGGAATTGAAATTTACAAGCTAATTAACACAACTTATTACAAGTACTATATGTAAAATACTAATAAAATGGACAGTTAAAAGATTCTAAGAAGACTAGTAAATCATTATTGGTACAAATCAAAAAATGCCTAGATGAGAAAGTCGTTATTTTATATCTATTATAAGGTAAGTTCAAGATAAAGGCAGAATTGTATAAATCACCGTCATATCAGATGTCATGTACATATTATGTTCAATAACTATGAAAAATGAAATGACGCCATCATCACCGTTCTAAATGGAGCACCAATGACTTTTTCAGACAGAATAAAACCGAACAAGACGATATATTTTTAATGTCAGTAAAAATGTATTCAGACAATTATCATAGAAAGCGTCACTAATCAAAACTTGACACATTCATTACCCACTTCACTACTCACTGTCTTTATCGCTGAAAGTCTAATGTGAATAGGTCTTTTCTGCCTTTTAGGCTCCATGGCTTCGTACACCTAAATAGTTCTCGAGGCATGACTGGAAAATAATGTCTACTAGACTTAAGCCTGTGAATGTTGTCATCTAGTCATAGATATACATAGACAATCTTTCATTATCTGGGTTCCGAAAAGAACTTAGTAACTAAACCACACTACTGAGTACCAAGAAACACATTGTTACTTATTTGGAACATATATTTAACCTATATATATTTTTTTGTTCAAATAACACAATTACATAAAAAAATAGGCCTTACTGATGCGGCCTGTGTCTTTCTGGTGTGTGAAATAGCAATCGGTATTGAATTTTTAACGTGTGAGAATTAAATTAAATTAGGGACGCAATTAAAGATTATCACAAATATTTTTTTTAACTTACTTTGTGAACTTAAACCAAATGTAAATAAGACAAGATACTAACATTTTATATTACAAAACTAATAACATCTAAATTGCACGTCACGCCATTTTTTTTCATTACATTTATTCCAATTACTTAACATCAAACTACTGTTATATTTTTTCAAATCTATAAGAAATAGCAACCCCCCAGGTAAGTTTTTAAGGCACACCCTAATACTTAATGAATTTCTAATAAAAACTTAATTGAAAGTGTACAATCTCGTGAAGGTATTTGGTCCCATTAGTAAAACAATCCGTTGGAAAGCTCCTTATCAAGACACTATTTACATTACAAAATTATCTGTTAAAACGAATTAGCACAGGTAATAATTAACCATAGCCTAATTTAAACGAAACTTATATCACAATTGCCAATTCGACCGCTATTAAAATTACCATGTAGTTTCGCAACCAGTTGTGTGAGGATTTAATACCACATCAGAACTATTCATCAAAAATTTCTGGAAACTACAGTCCCACGTAAAATAAAAAGTTAAATAAATAGTCTAATGACTCTTTAATGAGCATTTGAAACTTATGTGCGAGTGTAGTCTAAGAGCAGTTTTTCTAGTGTTAAAGTTTTTATTCGCGCCAAATTGTTATTTTTCAAATAAATATTAATTTTTGACGTTGAAATTGACAATTATTTTTATTGATTGAAGAATCAAGTTTTACGCGTGTTAATTAAATTTTAACAGATCATATGTATTATTTATATTTAAGAATTATGTTCAGAATTGCAAGCTTTTAACGTCTCATAGCATAAAATATTCTTAAAGATAACCTATTGTACTTGATGCTAATGATGTAAATGTGTACTTTGACGATATGAATGAATGAATGAATGAAAAAATGAACGAACCATGGTTTGATGCGACTTACTAACAAATTTTGCTGATTTTTCTTAAAAAATATACATAGTTATTGCCCTTGGGAGATTGATATTATGTCATGTATAGAAAATAACGATTACGTCGTCGTTGTCCAATTTCATTGCAAACATACTACACAAGTTTAGAACTGTTTACTTTTTTTATATTTTGGAACAATTTCTGATGAATTCGTTTGTTAATTGTATTAAGTGATTCACATTATTTTCTATACAATGAATAATAAACTATTAATATTACAATTAAAACGTATGTTTCTAGTCAAATTCAGCAACTTAAGTTTGAAGCAGCCATTGCTTACCTACTACTCAATGAGATATTTTTTTTATAAAAAAGTAATTGTGATGATGTATTTTATGTGTGTATGTGATGATCTGTTTTAAAATTTTAATTTACGTCCAAATGATACAATATTTTATACACCATAACATTTTAAACAAAAAAATGTGCAATACTGTACTTTTAATTATTCCTGCATCACATGTACAATAGTTTACAAAATAGATGTTTAATATTGAATATAAAAGCGTCCATTCAATAGTTTTTATAGTCAATTTTGTCCTATTTTAATTTTAAGAGATTCAAATTTAACTGTTGATGTAACGTAGGACACATGTACTTTGTATTTTAAAGTAAAGTTAACAGTTTCAAGTATTATTATTAATATTATTTATTACTCCAGTGTTCCACCTTTGAAATATTACAATTTCCTCCGCCAGCTTCGTTTCTTCTATTTTTGAAAAGGAAAATGTCTATGGTGGATAACACGAAACTAAGAAAATGACATATAGAGATAGCTTGCGATACCTCTATGGTCTAACATAAATAATAGAATAAAAGTCACCACTGACAGTCACTTCATTATTGCATTTACAGAAAATGAGCATGTGGAGTAGTGTCAAGTAGATGTCACATCAGAATTCGTCTCTGTCAAGTGGTAGTTATGGAATATTTCATGTAATTGTCAAGGAAAATGACGTTAGTAAATATAGTTAAAATGGTTTGAAATTAGTATATTTAATCTTGAGAATACTTGAAGCTGACAACTTAGATAAGATTACGTCATAATAGCTATACATATATATGAAAATGGAAATTCATAATTATTAATGGAATGCGAATAGTTAGACCTACATATGAAAAGAGTTTAGTTATGCAATAACTCATTACAAAATGCTACCAGTTTATCAAGAAACCCGAATAGATATCATTGGTCATTAGGTATTTGGATAGCGGTTGACCACATATTATGTCAAAACAAATGACAATCATATTCAAGGTAAAAAAATTAAAAACAAATCGTTCCTAATTTGAAATACATAACCAAAGTACATATAGACAATGCCATAAAGGTCTATAGGTTCGTTAAAACAAAGAGTGTCATCCATTTTTTTATGTCTTTTACTTAGTCAATAAAGTCTTTACACATATTTGTCTCTCGTCACCACTAAACTATAACCAAATTATTAAAAATAAACTACCTACGAACTAAGAAAGAAGTTGCACATCTTCAATCTGGGGGTTCCTGGTGGGAGCAATGTGGTACCGGTGTTGGAGATGACTTAAAGGCTCTAGGGAACAGCGAGGAGTAAGAAGGCGGTGGTTCGTACTCCGGAGGTGTCGGTGGTAGAGGTTGCGTAAAGAGTTGCTGCGACGCAGCTGTCACTGTGACAGTTGGTGACAGGTCTATACATGATGGAGGTATGTTGATTGGTGTGTCTGAAGGCTTGGATCGTTTGCAGCAGCATTCTGGAAAATGAAAGAAGAAATATATTTTATTTTATTTCGGTAAAGCTACATTTTGTAGTTGAATAAAATGTTGAATATTACTGAATTTAATGCGCCTAAATCATATTTAATTCTAAAAAGCTGGATCATTCATCCCTTGAGTAGAACAAAGTCAACTAGAAAAGGAAAATTGATATCAGTACACAAAGAGCGAAGATATCTCCTTTTTTTAAATCGGTTAAAGTGTAAGAAGCCTTCTCTTCTAGACATATGCCTCTCCTTAGAAAGGAGGTTTTGGCCTAATATACCACGCTGGCCAGACGGGTTGGTACAGAGTTCGTGTCAAGTTTTTTTCTCGTTGCAGTGCTGTTGTGTTGCGTAGTTTGTTCCCTTAGTCGGCTCTCATGTCACTCATGGGACGAAATGGGGGTTGGTGACACATCATATTCTTAATCCGTCACCACACGGACGTACTACAAGAAATACCTATAAGGCAGTTTTTAACATCTTCCTCTTGCAGTTACCTGGCTTATCTAATAGTAATTATATAATAGCATGGACATCGTAAAATGATATAAACGAGTCGATTATTATACAAGATTACTACACAAGAGTACTTAAAACCATAAGTACCTATAATTAAATGCGAAGATATCATTACATCATTTAAGTAATTAAATTATATATCACGCCACTACATTATGTCCGCTTTGTCACGAAATAATACAATTTTTGTTAATTAGATTAGGTCGGCCCTTTTGTTAATGGGTTAAGAGGTCATTTCTTTGAAGCAGACCTATATGTATATTGTATAGGCTTGTATATGGCGAATTCTGATAGCGTGAAAATATTAGCCCTTCGTTTCTTATGTAAATAAAAACATGAAATATGTATAAATGTTATGTATAATAAACTTTTATATGTTACTTTAAAATGTATATGATTTGATATGTTAGCATTGGTTGGGCTCAAAACACAGGTGCCTTTGCTTACTTGAAATTAAAAAAAACGAATGTGTTATAGACATATTTGTGACATAAACAAGTTTATCCTCTCAAGGTTGTCGCTTAAAAAAAATTTATTACTTTTAAATGTAAATAACAATAACCTTTCGCAATCTAAAGCTTTCAACAAGTCTAGACTTTCTAGTGTGATGCTAGATTTAGGTAATGTTGAATTAGTATTATGCCTCCATCTAAAATAATGACTGCCTCGGTGGTGCAGTGGTAGTGTATACCACTGCTGTGCTGAGGTCTCGGGTTCGATTTCCGAGTCGGACCAAATGTTTGTATGATCTGCAAATATTTGTTTCGGTGTTTGGGTGTTTTCTGTGTATGATATTTATGTATTTACAAAAAAAAAGAATAATAAGAATTCTATCAGTCAATCTAGCTTTCATAATACAATCTCTGCTTAGTTTAAAATTAGATGGCGTTGTGTTTCGGATGTCCGAAATATAATAATTATTATTATCTAAAATATCGGATCTAAGTATAGCATTATCTTGAATACATAATCTTAAATTTTATATACCTGTGATTTTAACAACATATTCGTAAAAGTTTGTCTGATTTTATACATATACATTATTATACATCCACGTTTAAACGCCGCAAAGATCATTGCTATCAGTAAAGTTTAGTTACTTACCCCAGGCTAAGCAGAACATGAGTATAGTGGCACATACGAGCATACCAACAACCAGGTAACTCCAAGGGCCATATGGCTTCAACGCTGCTGCAAACTCCATGAAAGCATTCGACGATTTCTCACTTTCACTGATTTTCACTGGAAAGATAAAAACAAATTTATAGTTTTCACATAAATTAATATAACCGTATAAAAATCCGTTAGGTAGTGTTTGAGTTTATCGCGTTCGTACAGACCGACAGACGCGCCCAGGGGACTTCATTTTATAATACATATCATCATCATCAGCCTATCGCAGTCCACTGATGAACATAGGCCTCTCCCATTGCACGCCACTTAGGGTTTTGGGTTTCTCGCATTCAGCTCCTGCCAGCCATCTTGCGCAAATCGTCACTCCACCTGGCCTGTGGGCGTCCTACACTACATACATAATATATAAGTATGTAATATGCATAAATTATGTAAATGTATATCTAGTGTATATATGTGGGCTGATTTTTCGTAACGCATATTAATTTAGTTATTCATTTAATTAGTTGGAAATATACACCTGCTACACACAGCTCTGCATCACCCAAAAGCATGACTGCAAGATAGTGCCTACGGCGTTGAGTTCACTTTACGCATAAAGTGTATTATTACTATAGATAAAAGACCCATAAATTTATCATTTTACGTGTTTAACATATGCACATATTTATGATAAAGATAACATTAATCTCCTATTTACCTTGACGGCGTAAAGACAAGGTTTTAAAACGTTTCCACGGAACATCTAAGATTCATTCGTTAATCTAAAAAAGTAGTTCTATGAATGACGTCAAACAAATAGCTCTTTACCTAACTTGAAATTACTAGCACAGTTGAAAAATTGTTCAGTTTAAAAGAGGACATTTTTAATGATAAATTTGAGCTCTAGCTAGAATATTGTCTATACAATTATTCTTAAGAAATACGAGTATTGCTTTGAATGACAACTTATCTTGAAGTTTTTTATTCTTAAAAAACCTTATTAAAATACTAAAACTTTTGCGTCTCTTATAAATAATATTTTGCTATGTATGAGTATTCGAATCTTAACTATGGCTAGTAGTTAAAAGCCATCAAAACAATAACATCAAAAAAATTGAAATAAAGTGAAATTAAAAAAGTGGAAATAAATACTAGGCGATACAAGTTGTGGTTGACAGTTTTTTTTATTTACAAATACGAGTATTTGAAAAGAAAATAAAGATTCTATACTGTTAGTTTTTTAAATACTTTCGACCAACAGTTTACTTCCACAGCAACTTTATTTAGATAGTAATAAAACAAAATCAAATTAAACTGCGCTCTGATTGGCCCACATACCGGAGGACCTGTCTGGTAAAAAAAGGACTGAATTAAATAAATGAGCCTTATGGTCTCTTGAAATTTGGTTAAGACAAAATGAGCTGCGGATTGTCTATGATCTCATGCTCTCTTAATAGCCACTTTCATAACTTTATAATTTAATGAAGAAACTTTTAAACACTGATACTCGTATATAGATGCATTCAAACCGTTAAATTCTTGTGTTACACAAGATGCCAAGATGTATGAAAATAAGATAACCATATGTTTTCCCACACTTGTAAGGTAATTTCCGTTTTTTTTTTCACCTTTAAAAATATATTTCAAATTCATATTTTAACTCTTTTAATTATAATACACTCACACTATGCGGGTATGTTTCACTTATGGAGAAACAACATTTAGTGTACACTTAACGTCACCAATTCGAATTTAAAAAATAACTATTTAAATAAGGCACATGACGAGAAAGAACTTCAGCGGTTATGATTTTATGAATGAAAGTAGAAGTTTATAAAGTGCTCACCAATATCGTTATACAGAAACATGATCAACCTAATCACATATTAATTGCTTCATAATCACAATTTGTCACGTGTTATAAATTAATTAACCTACCCATTAGTTGAAACTTCACTTAGTATTAAGGTAAGGTAAGGAGGTAAGAAAAGACTGAACGGATAATTTATTTACAGTTGAAACGTCATTCAATTTATGGTTAATCTTTGGTTTAGAATTTACCTCGTACTAATAATTTGCATTGTCATTTCTTTATGCTCTCAGGTCTGGATATCCCTAAAAGGGTAGGCCATATGTACCACATAGTCACATTTTCACTTTGCTCTTTTGGCAATGGGCATCTTTTTGAGCTTCGTTACTAATACTAAAAAGTAACTAATATTATAACGAAGCAATTTTTTTTGTTTTTAATGCATGTAGTATATTAACTAGGAACCCGTTCCTAGTTGAATGGTTCCTGACAGTAATGATTAGGCGACATCATCGGGTCAATGGACTGCACAGATGGCGTAGTGGTTTAAGCGGTCACCTCGCCGCTTACTACACTGATTGTTGCGGGTTCGATCCCACATGGGGAAACACTTTGTTTAATCCACTGGTTTTTGTTCAGGGTTTGGGAGTTTTTTGTGTCCGTTTCATGAATGTTTGTAAAGTCCCTGCAAGATAGGATATATTCCTAGTGCGGCAGTTGTCGGGAAAGAAAAAAGAAAAAACTAAAAACAAAGGCATCTTTCTTAAAAGAGTACCGGTTTTTTTTGCTATTTCTTTCAAAATAATTACTATTTCCCAAAATGTCATTGTATTTGCTTGATTTCATATCAGCAAAGTTTAGTAGTAAGTTGGAAACCGAACGAATTAAACCGAATTTGAAGAGTTCTTTAGTTATTTAATTACTTTGCTAAAGCTATTTGCGTATATTAGTAGATATTGGATGAAGAACGCAGTTTTCGCGCAAATTTTAATCCTCGTATGTTTTCCAGAATTCCTCGTATGTCCCATGAGGAAAAAAATATCTTATGCCAGAGAGAAAAGCGGAGAAGGGCTAAAACACAATTTTCCTATTAAACCTACTTGTTATGATTCTGAGAAGGTATGGTAAGGCAAGGTCGCATGAAAGATCAGTAGACCGATAATGCTATGATTAATTCCTAAACAGATAAAACACCAAGACATGTTTTTCGTTCATTATTAAAAAAAATGATATTTTAAAAGATGCCATGCCATGCTATGATAAAAATTTGCAATGTATTTGCAGTTGACTTTTATCTTACGGATTTGACTGTTCCTTATTTATTATGTTAAACAAATAATTTTTCCCGGGTTTTTTTATTATATTTATTATTTTTACGTAACTTTATATGTTTTGCTTGATTTTTACAACAATTTTATCACTATAATGGATCAGTTGCGAAAGTTCTTCTCATTCTGTTAAGTATTTTTTGGTATAGAGTTAATTTACGGACTGGCGAGTGACATAGGTTATAAAAATAAACAGTATCTAGTGAAGCATCTAAATTCAAGGTCCAAATTGAGACTCTTCTCAATATACTTATGTTTAAAAAAGAAAGATGGTTTGAAAGAAAGAGGTCATATACAAGCTACAAGCATATTTAGTAACATACTTTTCATTTTTTGTTCGGGTCTAAAAATGCTGTGTAAAAAGTCTCATTATACAATATAATATAATTTAAAACAATATAATACAATATAATATTTAAGAATAGGTACTTACTTATAACAGAAGGTTTCGTTACTCCCTCAGGCTGGTCTAATCCTAATAACTCTTGGTTCCTAGCGGCGAACCTCCTCAACAACTCGAGTAGTGGAGGGTCATGCCTATGTGAGCAGGCACTTGGGTCCTCATCCTCGCCACCAGGACAGTGCCGCACGCCATCGCAGACCAAGTACGATGAGATACAAAGGCTTGTAACCCCGCATATGAATTGAGAGTCGTTGTTGCAAGCTGCACCTGGAAAAAAGGAAAAAGAAAAGTTTTTAAAATTTTATCTCTATTTACGGATGTGATATTCTAGACCCCGGTCTCTTTAAAAAGTGAATCAGGTTGACGATCACTTACGTGGTAAATGCATACCAGGCCACTCAGAAAGTTTTTATTTATTTTTGAATTATCGTGTCTCATTGAAAAATGGATCTGCGTCGGGAACATTTTCGTGCAATGTTTTTTTTTATATTGGACTTTTTGCTACGGATTTATTGTGGTTCAGAAATTTAAACTGACGGGTCAGATATATTTTATGTCGTAATATAGACTAGCCTATTACTTCAATGCGCAATCATTCATTTTCATAAATCTATATAATGCAAAGATAAATGGATAGAATTGTTTTGGCTACTCTCACAAAATAAAAATAAGTAGTGCATTATACTACTTGCTGTCCCTGCCCTAGTTCGGTTTCCTTCAATTTTATTATCTGTTACATTCTAGATAAGTAACAAACCTGTTTTATGTCATCGTAAAAGCTAATGGAAAAAACTATATACATAGATTTGAAAATGGAACACTTTGTTTTATTTTTATTTTATTTTTTTTAAATGGATAGCCATTAGGTAGGTACACAAGATTTTACGGAATTAGATCAGCTCGCAAAGATTTCTATTTAATAAATACATGTCGTTTTTAAAACGGTATATCTGAAGATATTCAACATGTCTTTCTATAGTTGGTGAAAGAGTGTAAATGCGTTAAAATGGCTATTTATGGCTTTTAAGGTATTGTTAGAATGTGTGCTCATATACACCAAACCCTCCAAACCGTGCCAAAACCTCCTTTCTAAGGAGAGGCCTATGTTCAGCAGTGGACTAGTAAAGGCTGTTGATGTGATGATGATGATGTGATGATACACACAATATAGAATGCTTAACAAGGATTTAAAAGGATTTGATGTTGAAAGTCTAGTAATCTTGTTAAATTTGTTACTAACCACTATTGACGGCGGTAACCACAAGCCTGAGCTTCTCGGTGTGCTGGTAAGGAGAAGTGGGAGGGTTCCACACGATCTTCAGCTTGGAGGGGAGCAGCTTCGTGCCAGCCCTTGCAGCGACTGCCGCGGCGTTTCCACCGCACAGATTCAATCGCCACATTGGGCTTTTGGCGTCACCGATATACTGAAAAAAAAACACAAATATTTTTATTTTTGTTTATTTTATTGTTTTCATTTGCCCTCTTTTACTGTCACTGTCTTCTCTGTCTATCCGATTAAGGATAAACAGCCATGAATATATGTTCAACGAATAATAAAGAGGTTAGAATAGCATTATTATGTGGTTTACAGATTTGAAAAGACTTTTTCTTGGTTTTTGATCCGACTGCACCACAAGGAGGGTGATGTTGAGTGTATGTACATATACATATGATACATCAGAACATATATACATATATGTTCCGATGTCACAGTCTGTAGCCTTAACGGCTTGATGGATTTTGGCATTTGAGGTTTCGATAGATTCGTCTTGATTGTGAGAGTAACATTGCTTATTTGAAAACTCCAAAAAGTAAAATCGCCGGTTTGTAAGTTGTATTTTTTTTAATAATAAGGTTAATTAATTAAGCTTAATTAAGCTTATCACTACTCTTAAAGCAGTTATCGAAATTTTATTGTTCTTCTTACACCTTAGTGGAAATGGTCACACGAGTTGCCTCATAAAACATTAAACATGTTTGAATCAACATTTCGAAACGTCCATTATTCCATTTATGAAACAATTTTTCCACGATTAACTTAACGAAAACCTTTTACTCCAAGGTCACCATTAATCATGGTGGAACAATAATTGGCGGCCATTACTGAATATGGTTCAGAAATTCTTTCTTCGTATAATAATGTGGTATGAAAAAGTGGCCTGTTGGTCTAGTGATTAGCGATCATGACTGCTAAGCGAGAGGTCATGAGTTCGATTCCCATCCAGGACAGATACCTACTCGTATTATTTAACCGAACACACATATGTTCGGTTGTTGTGGAGAGTGTTGGGGCAGGCCTATGTTGGCTTAGATGATGATGATGATGATATATGTATTTATATAAGAGATAGTCCATTAATCACGTGAGCTCGAAAGGGGGGGGGGGGAAAGGGTTCGGAAATAAATCACGAAATATGACGAGAAGAGGGAGGGGATATAATGACATATCACGTGTATTTATTTTTCGTTGAACGCACGATTTCATTTATATTATTTCGATAGACAAATACGAGTATGTTTTTTTTTTATGTAAGTGGGCTTTTATGGAGTCGACAAATGATGTGGAGAAGTGTTATATAACACCATTCGTTATCTGAAAAACTGTGAGATTAACAATATTAACTGCATTAAAAATTTAAAGATCCATAATTACTTGTAAACTAAACTGTGACATTTATGTAATTGCCTTACTTAAATTATAATTTCACGTGTTCTAGAACATAAAAAAGCTATTTGTATTCTTATTTGTTTCTAAGATCTAAGATATTTGCTAAGCACAAATGCCATATGACTTCGTGAAGTTACTATATAGTACCTGGATGATCTTGTGTTTTTTTTTTGGTAAATGTTCTAAAAATGAAACCTAGCTAGATTGGTTAACCGCCCCCGAAACCCCCTTCATACTAAATTTCATGAAAACCGTTGAAGCCCTTTCCGAGATTCAGATTATATATATAGAGATATATTTATAGAGAGAGTAGATCATAGTCATCCTTGTTTTTAACGTTCGGACTTCTCAAAGGCAGCCAGACGTCCAATTGTCCTAATAAAAGTTCGATCCCAATTCAGTTCCGATCAACTCTCGATCTCACAAATAATATTTAAAAGGTATTTTCGCAGTAAAGTATTAAATATCCAACGTTGGCTGTAATGTGACTATACCTTATTACTATTATACTTCCTACATCTTTTTAACCGAACTTTTATTACGAGAATTGGCCTTCAGTTCGAGTTATAGGTATGCCATCCTTATCTCACCGACCTACTGCTTTCAGTTTCAAATTCATGTATATTTAAGCAATATCCTTTTTTCATTTTTCATTATCTGTCTCTAATAGTTGAAAATTAGCGTATGTATATATTAACGTATGTATTTATAGTATTTTTTTTTATTTTTTTTAGGACTAATCCCACCCACACGCCCACCACTGTACCTCCTGTACACCAGGATCCACAGCAGTGACCCACGAACACACCGAGTTATGACACTCGGGAAGTCCCAGGAAGAAATTAAACTGTCTTGGAACCCGCAACGAAATTAATCAGAAGAAAATTGGAGGAGTTGGAAATACAGTAAATCCACTTCCCTCCTTAGCAAAGCGGGAGACAAAATGAAGTAAAAATGGGCATACACCCTTTTAAACAGGGGAGCACCACGGCCACAAATATTACGGGTCCTACGTGAGCTATGTTTGATTTCTATAATATGTATGGCAGAATCGCCTAAACGCACGGAAATTCACCCTAGTTGACACAAGATCCCCATAGTATACCGCCCCAGATGTCACCTGCAAGCTATTCAGCATTATATTACGTTCATTATACCAAAGACTACATTCCCAGAGGATATGATGAGCAGACTGTTCATAGTGAGAGTTAGGTGTTGAGCATTGACACAATGGTGACTCGACTAATTTAAATGAATAAAGCTTGCTCTTAAAGTTACCATGACCCGTAAGAAATTGAGCGACACAGTGATCCACCTCAAGCCATATCCTCGACAACCGTTCGCGAACAGATGGAAAGAATTGGTAAAGATGGCGCCCCTTGGATGATTCATCCCAGCGTTGTTGCCATTCGTCTATGAGGTCATTATAGACATCGGGCTGCTGTTGAAGTAATCTTGTAATTTTACCGCGATCCCGCGCGCCCAAAAAATCGCATTCCATGTTTTGTTGTCTTGAATAGTACATGGCTGCACGTCTCTGCACCTCGAGATCGACCGGAAGCACACCCGCCAACACCGGCAAAGCCTCAGTGCTAACCGTCCTATATGCCTTACACAAGAATATCAGTGCAAGTCGTTGGCCTTGTAACAGTTTGCGACGGACAGCGCCTACGGTCGCCCTATCGGCCCATACAGGTGCACCATAGCACATAGAACCTAAATAAGTAGCTCCGTATATGATCTTTAATGTATTAAATGATAGACCCCATGTCGCAGTTGATATCCTTGTCAATGCACAGAAACTCTTTTTAGACCTTTCATTAACTATTTTAATATGTTCGATAAATGAAAAGTTTCTTTCTAAAACTAATCCTAGATAACACACTGCGGTTTTATTTTTTACAGTAACATTGTCAAATTTAATGCTCGGCGGTGATTTGAGGTTACCTTTTAAAAGTAGCTGGAAGGTTTTGTTGGGTGCAAAAGTTAAGCGATTACGTTCACCCCATTGAGATATCAAGTTCAAACATCTATTGGCTAATCTCTCAAGCCCCGCCCTAGTATCAGATTCCACCAGTAATAAGCCGTCATCAGCATACGCGTTCAGAGTACATCCGGATGGTATTGGTATCGCAAGAAAATCGTCGAAGCCGATATTCCACAAGTATGGACCTAGCACCGATCCCTGAGGACATCCCATTGTAAGCGCCTTCGACACAGAATGATGACCAAGTCTTAGTTTAGTTGTACCTTGTGAAAAGTACGAAGAGATAAGGGAATAAATATTTTTAAAACAACCCCGTGATTTTAATTTCAGCAACAGCATGGGCCACCATGCGTTGTCGAAGGCGCCAGATATATCTAAGAAAATAGCCAGCACGTATTGAAATTTTGACCCTGTGACAAACTTTCTAACCGATATAACAGCGTCAGTTGTCGATTTACCCAACGTAAATCCAAATTGTCTATCATGAAATTTGACTCCACCTGGCAGAAGCCGGGGCACTACAAGACGTTCTAAAAGCTTTCCTAACGATGGTAACAATGTTATTGGTCGGTAGGATTTAGGATCATCCGGTGGCTTGTCGCCACTTTTTGGTATTATACGAATATTACCGCACCGCCATATACGAGGAAATATTCCTTCAGCAATGCAACGTTTAAAGACAGTGAAAATCGTGTCACCCGAAAGTTTACAAGCTTCTTTTATCATTTTGTTAGATATTTTATCATCGCCCGAAGCCTTGTTTAGCGGCAAGGATCTAATGATACCGAGAAATTCATCTGAAGATGGTAAATCAGACATTGGAGATAGTGGTGGTTCGATGGCCCACTGCCTGATCTGTCGGTGATGATCAGTGTCGTTTTCCGGTCGATCGTCAGGTACGAGTGAGTCTAAAAGATATTCTGCTGTTTGTTCTACTCCTGTGGTATATCTGTTATTAATTTTGATGTTCTGTATGTATGCAAGGTCGATTGATCTATTTGCCTTAAATTCGTGATACAAAGGTGACCACGGGCCCTCTCTATCGAGTTTATCAACAAGTTTCTGAATTAAGTTTCCCTTGGATTTTTCCACAGCAGCTCTGTAGTGGGACCTGTCAACTCTAAGAGCAATGAGAGCATTGTTGTACAAATCTCCTGTTACGTTATGTTTTTTAATATTGTTTAATTTTCTACGAGCTTTCCGGTAGCTTCTACGTCTTTCGGCTAATCTATCATTCCACCAATCACATCTACGAGTGTTAGTGATAGATCCGCGACCAATAGTTACATCATCATTTATAGTATTTATGTATAAATATAGATTAGTAGTATTTATGTATAAAAAATATTTCATAGGTTAAGACCTTTTTTACTTGTTTTATTGGGACTAATCCCACCCACACGCCTACCACTGTAACTCCTGTACACCAGGATCCACAGCAGTGACCCACGAACACACCGAGTTATGACACTCGGGAAGTCCCAGGAAGGAATTAAACTGTCTTGGAACCCGCAACGAAATTAATCAGAAGAAAATTGGAGGAGTTGGAAATACAGTAAATCCACTTCCCTCCTTAGCAAAGCGGGAGACAAAATGAAGTAAAATGGGCATACACCCTTTTAAACAGGGAAGCACCACGGCCACAAAATATTACGGGTCCTACGTGAGCTATATTTGATTTCTATAATATGTATGGCAGAATCGCCTAAACGCACGGAAATTCACCCTAGTTGACACAAGATCCCCATAGTATACCGCCCCAGATGTCACCTGCAAGGTATTCAGCATTATATTACGTTCATTATACCAAAGACTACATTCCCAGAGGATATGATGAGCAGACTGTTCATAGTGAGAGTTAGGTGTTGAGCATTGACACAATGGTGACTCGACTAATTTAAATGAATGAATCTTGCTCTTAAAGTTACCATGACCCGTAAGAAATTGAGTGACACAGTGATCCACCTCAAGCCATGTCCTCGACAACCGTTCGCGAACAGATGGAAATAATTGGTAAAGATGGCGCCCCTTGGATGATTAATCCCAGCGTTGTTGCCATTCGTCTATGAGGTCATTATAGACATAAATTTACTTCTCTAATTTATGTATACCTATAACCAGCTCAAAATGAATACATCCAAAGGTTGCCTGGAAGAAATTGCACTAAGCGATAAGGCCGCCCTTTGTACATTAATCTGTTGTATTGTGTTGTTACTTTATAAAGTCTGTATAACCCTGGTGTACAAATAAAGTATTTATCTATCTATCTATCTAACCTTTTCTTGTAATTAACCATATTCCCTTCTGGCATACCTTTCCTTTTACTCTTAAATTTCGCATTACATTAACGAAAAACTAGAAGTTCTATTGAATTTGAAAGGTTTTAGTAGAGAGTATGCCTTTTCTTTGTTGTATCGTGACGGCAAGGTACGAGTATGCAGCACACGGTGCAGGCACGCAGGTGTTAGTAACCAACACCTGCGGTCCCTTTCGCGCATTGCCAACGAATGTTTTACTCTGATATGGAGTTAAGACGAGACTACATGATGTCTACCATCCCAACGCTCAAATTTTGCCCACTATTATTTTAATCTCATTTACATAAGAGGGTATAAGCATATTGCCTTTAACCAGGCCTATATATTTCTAAGTACACATTTCGACCGGATGGCGTGGTGGTTTGTGTAACGGACTGCTATTCCAAAGGTCGCGGGTTCGATTCCCGCTCAAGTCAAACGTTTGTGTGCATGAACATTTAATGTTTGATTTGGTCTGGGTGTTTCTATGTATAATATGTATGTATTTACAAAAAAAAGTATATATGTATTTATATCAGTTGTCTAGTACCCATAGTACAAGCTCTGCTTAGTTTGGGACTAGATGGCGTTGTGTGTATGTGGTAGAATATTATTATTATTATTTATCATCATCATCTGAGCCAAAAGACGTCCACTGCTGTCGACGAAATCTAAGTAAAAAAAGCTATAATAAGTACCCTCAATATAACAGGTAACATTATAATAGCAATAGTCCCTCCTAGATCGGTTCCCTTGAAGTCGGTGCTGTCGGTCGAATAAAATAATTGCGTAACAAACATATTTTTTTTGTCTAAATGTTTTGTAATCTCATTTATTACTCTCTTGTGCACATATCTCTGTAACCCCTCACAGTGTTTGTGAGGGGTTACAGAGATATGTGACTAACAAATATCTTGAAAGAATAAAAAAGGTCAATACATGATTAGATATTTGAAATAGTTATTTTCTAGCTCAGCAACGACTACTTAACGCAAATATCTATAAAGCTAGAGAAATAAGCTAAAACACGGTGTCGGGGCTAAAAAATTGCCCTCGATTTCTCTAGGATCCCATCATCAGATTCTGATTCGGTGGTAATGGGACTACTTCGAGAGCAGACCCTTTCGATTGCAAAAAGAATTTTGAAAATCGGTCTACCTCTTTTGTGTCTTTTTGAAGTCGGGTTAAAAATTCATTTATTTTCTCAACACAGGTCATTTACAAGACATTAGACTTGTACATATCACTAGATGATTGTGGGAGACTGGTGCCTAAGCTAGACGTCAGCCTGTCACCAGGCCTTCATTCCAGGTTTCCTTCATTTCCGTATAGAGCAGATTGTATTAAAATCTATTTTACAGCACTCTGTAAAATAGATTTTAATACAATCTACAAAAAATAAAACAAAAATTGTTTTATTTTATGTGTACGTGTGCGTTCGTGCGAGTGTGTATGTATATGTGTGTGAGCCATTGCGGATGTCTGTTATTCGGGGATTATAACTAGTTTTTTAGGTGTTTTCATTATTTAATGTCAACAACCATTCAGTCAATCGGTTCTTGCATGCTAATTTCGTTAGACGTAATATATTTGTAGTCTTACTTATTTTTTATTGTAGAAAATACGCCCATGAAACAAATGAATCTTCTATTTATTGGTAAAGCGGGTGTGGAAAGGGTGTTTGGTGGCATCGGCAGGATTGTAGCGTCTTTTTCCCTGTTGTATGTATATTATAACTTACAATCAAGAGTTTACAAGCATCGGTTCCATTGTTAACGGGCGCTGCCTGGTCGGGGGCGGTGTCCTGCGCGTGTGTTGCCGTACGAGCACTCCACTTGCGCGCCGGCCCGCCTCCCACAGGAGATGGTAGCTGAACATCTGTGATGGGCCGTTCCCAGTCTGCTATTGATTCCTGGAATGGAAACAGGAGACTTGAATAAAGATTATCTAAAGAACTAACATTGTGTTAAGTGCTGAGGGTTTAATTACACATTAAATATCTATCATTTTTTTCTGAAAAGTGTCTGATACCAAAATAACATAAGCAATTAGAAAATTTACTGAAGTTTTATTCAATAAATAAGTTAGATCAAGAGCATTTTAATGTTTTATTTTTAACTTGCTTTTGCTCGCGGCTCCGCCCGCGTGTATGTCAGTTATCGGTCCATCAACATCGCCGCTGTCGCGGTAAAATGCCTATGTCCTTTCCCACAACTCAAAATCGGTTCAGCGGTTTAAGCGTGAAGAAGAAACAGACAGACAGACACACTTTCGCATTTATAATATTAGTATGGATTATTGCTAGACCACCATGTTGCTCATTAGTCAAGATAATATACTAAGCTATTCTAACATTATAAAGATGAACAGTTTGTTTGTTTGGTTAAAAGTTTTGTCGGTTGATCTCAGGCACTACAGATCCGGATTGTTAAAAATATTTTAGTTTTGGATAGCCCATTTATCGAGGAAGGCAATGAGTTATTTAACATCACGCCACGAGCAATAGGAGCCCAGCATCAATGAATGAACAAATGAACTACTATGGTTATATTCCTTATGATTGGATCTTTGTTTATATATTCGGTGATTTTGGTAAAACAAAAATCCGAGGCTATGCCATGATTAGATTTGTATTTTCTGTCTATACAGAAATCGTAGCGTATCGTAGTATGGTGGAATAAAGTATTTAAATACGGGTAGAAATAATAAAATCTAAATACATTGAAAATTGTTACAAAAATTTAATGTCCAAGGTTGCGAATGAAACTGACATTTGCTGATTGTACATTGTACAATGAATATTTTTAATGATAGTGTAGTGGTAGTGTTATTATGACGTTTGTTATTTTGTTTTATGAATGTATCTTACAATAAAATACTCATTTTTTTAATGGTATAAGGGGGCAAACGAGCAGAGGGTCACCTGATGGTAAGCAACTACCGCCGCCCATGGACACCTGCAACTCAATAGTCACAAGTGCGCTGCTGCCCTCGGAGTCCCTCCCGCTCGAGTCAGCGGGAGGGGGGATTTGGGCTCCGGTAACGTCACAACGTCACACAAAGGCAACGAAAGAATTGCTTAACACCGGTTTTCTGTGAGGCCGTGATATCACTCCGTTCGAGTCGGCCCATTCGTGCCAAAGCATGGCTCTCCCAAGGTAGGTACTCTATTTAACTATTAACTCATTCATAAGTTAATTGTGCCCCTAAATTGTTTGTTTGTATTTCCATAGCGTGGAAATTACCGTGCTTCAAATATAACAGGATCTTTTCAATTAAATCTTGCGGATCTCTTTCATGGTATTCGTATCTATACGTTAATTCAATTTGTATTTCACATGTACCTTTAAGAAACACCAATGTCATCACTCTTTAAATTTATTTTCGTCTGCTTGGCGAATCCTTTCTGTTCTATTCGTTTATTCTATACTGACGTTAGTTCCAATTCAAAAATCTCATGACATATCAATTTGCATGTTAAGATATTATCAGTAAGATATGTATTTAAAATTAACACTTGCATAAATAATAATTATCACTCGGTTTAGAGAAGACGCTTCTAACGAAACCAACATTTACAAAGACAAAATAGTTCAGCAGTATAAGTACTTTTTTGATGTTTTCTCTTGATCTCCGACGCAAAACGGAGGGGTGTTATTAGTTTAATGTGTCTGTCTGTAACTCCTGAGGCCATTTTGATTTCTTTTGTATTTAAAAATGACTTGATCGAGAGTGTTCTCAGCTAGTGTCAGTGTTCAAAGATTAGCTGTCTATGAAATGTTTTAGGTGTTGACGAGCTACGTGTGTGTGACGAAGGAGATTAATTGTTAATGACAGTTTAATAATTTACGCTCAAGACTGGTCAAGATAACAGTTTGACATAATACTTGTCAAAATTTTGACTTGTAAAACGACGCCAATGTGAATGGGGTACGAAATGCCGACATTACTGTGGAAGACAATGCACGTTCTTAATAACTGACAGCTCTGTGTAATTTGAATTGGCAAAGTGACAATGATTTATGGAAACCATTGTTTTGTGTCACTTAACTGAGGTTTCAATACTATACGTGAATGAGTACGTTTGAGATACATGGCAGTATGTCAGGATATTCAATGAGGTTGAAGGAATTTTCCATTTTAACTGTTAACGGAGACTCACATTTTTGCGAAGTAAAAAAAAAAAACATTTTCCTACCTACGATACCGGTGTTTCGGGCTCGATAATATATAATAATAATGCAATGGTTTTCCAAGCCATGCATAATATGGCATTCTTCGAAAGGAGGACTTTTGATATTGTGCTTTATTGTGTAAAAACGCGATTTTACTTTTATATTATTTTCGATTTTACTTTAGCTACTTTTAATTTTTTACGAATACTTCAGTGAGGTGCAAAGTATTCTGAAGATGATATAATTATGTTCATTATCTTGGGACAAGAGGTTATTGGAAAATTTGATCTTCGAGAAGGCATTAATCACAATAACATAAAAAAGTATTAAACAAGTTTACCTCATAGGTATATGTATAGTTAGATGATTGTTACATAATAAATGCTACTCGAAAACTTCATAGTAGGACAGACTTCGCGTTCTTCAGGCCCAAATATGACCTTAAATCTTGGATGAGGAAAACTCCCGTTGTAAACGAATTTCAAGTTAATCAGATTAAAGTTAAGTTTAACGGATAGATACACACATAATTAAGTCAGCTGTCATAACTTTCTTCTGTTTTTCGGAATTAAGCCACACAATTATTAATTTTGACGCCATTTGTCGCTAACTTCAGACCGGTCACTTTATAATACCCGTTTTCCTAAGTGATAATATGTATTGGACATAATTAAACAGTACAGACTAAAGGATTTAGAGTTGAATGTGAACAATAAGATTTTTTTTTAAATGAACAACGTTTTTGTTCGTATAGCTCTAAACTTTAAGCAATAATGATAAGTGATTATTGCTAATGATGGTTACTATTAAAATAATATCCGTTTTATGTAAATCATTCAAGTGAATTACTTTAACACGAGTTCAAGTCATATATTATAGTGATATTATTAGGATTACTATAATTGGCGACTAATTATATGAATTCAATTTACTTAAAAAAAAAGAGTTATTATTCTATATCTATTAATCATTAGTAATGATTACATGTTTTGCGAATAGTTTAATAAATGCTTAATGTATTTTTTAATGTGATACATCTAATACAGGGAGGGGGCAGACCAGCTGTTGCATGTCGACGCGTCGTCACGGTACGTCTGTAATAGCATACGTAATATGAAATGCGGTATGACGACGAATATTATCTTTTTAATTATTATTGTACTGTACTTATTTTTTCATAAGCTATCCTTTTATATTCATTATTTTTACAAAATAATTTCGATGTTCCACATCAGTCAAACGTCCCGCGACGGCTCAATTATTTTTCGCTGTAGTTCTCCTGAATACCGTAATAACTACAATTCGCGTATAACGATGATAAGTAGAGACTCAGTATTAAGAGAAAATAACCGTGTGAGAGCCAAGCTTTGTCACAAATAGGCATCCTCGACGGCCGTGATTATATCGTTGCTTTTAGCGAGTGGTGGACTCAAAGTGCAGAAACGCATTTGTGACTCTTGAGTTGTAGACATTAATGAGTGGATATATCCGTATCTGGCAAATGAAATATATCATTTCCCTACAAATTTAAAATGTACCATTTACAGAACTATTACAAAGACATCGACGACTTGCATCAGTGGCAGTTCAGTGACAAGTTTTACATAGTAGAATACGGAAAACGCAAAATTATTCCGACGACAGTCCATTTGACAGTCTATTGATACGATATTAAAATAGCAGAATTGAGGCCCTGGTCATTCGTTTATTCGTTTGCCCTCCTATCACGAAAAAAGAAGATTAAACGATATATACGTGCGTATTTAAAAATAAATTACTCAAAGCCTCACGTTTACTGTTAAAATTCATCTGGTGACCAACACGGTCCAATTTGGTCACGATCTACATATTTATCGCAACAGTACGCAGTTTGAATTGTTAAAAAACTATTGTTTCAACACCTATTGTTGCATACTTACATTAAGATGAATGTACAAATCGAGATTTTGTTTGTCATACTCAAGGATTACACGGCGTTGAAATGTTTTGAAATTAATAATTTATATACTTTAGAGCCAGGCGATTCTATTGATGGGTGACCATTTTTAACACATTGAGACCCGTCCGTGCCCGGGACTGACGCTGACGGCTTAACGCGCTCTACGTTAAGCCGTCAGCGTCGGTCCCGGTTGACTTACGAACATCAGTGGAACTATTTGGGTAGTTCGGGCCCTAAAAAGTCCGATAACTGCAAGTCTATTTACAAAACATCGATGTCGCCTGGTACTTGGGCTTTAGAGATTTGATGACAGTCGCTCCACGTAAAAATTCAAATTCAGCTACAAACAAACTACGTACAACAGCTACGTACAAACTACGCAGGTCAACAGCACTGCAGAGAGAAGGAAAACTTGACACAAACCCTATACCAACCCGTCTGGCCAGCGTGGTATAGTAGGCCAAAACCTCCTTTCTAAGGAGAGGCCTATGTCCAGCAGTGGACTAGTAAAGGCTGTTGATGTAGTAGACTGAAAGCCAAATTAGGTTGGGAAAAGTCTCGAGGGTGATGATAATTATGTTAACTTATTATCATTTAATTTATAATATAGATTGTTGATTTCTAGCCTAAAAACTCCAAACCCATGTCCTTTCCTGGGGCTCACACTATCTCTATACCAAATTTCAAGTAAATCGGTTCAGCGCTTTAAGCGTGGGGAGGTTACAGACAGACACACTTTGTATGGATGCATTTTTTAAACTAATCTTTTAAAATCACGTCTTAAATGTTAAATTCCTT